TCCAGCTCCGCGGCCGCGCCCCAGGTACGCGGCCCTGTGAGAGAGACATTTTGGTGACACACCACCGCGTCTCGGATCAGTGGACACCTCGGGGACTGCCGCGGAGTATCTCCATGCTTCTAACCGCCCAAGATACATGAGTTAGTTCTGATGGGCTTGGCTATAAGGATTAGTGTGATTTACGTGGAGGTAGTTAATGAACTTAGTCCCATGTTCAAGCCCTGTTTTTCCTCCCTCATTTCTTCTTTGCTTAGGAAAGGACAGAAATGACTAACCGAGAAGAAGCTGAGATGCAGATGTCGGAATTAGATTTACTCTCTAGCATGTTTCCTTCCGAGGAAGAGTTCACTGTGACTGACCAGCTGGCTGTGGCAGAACTAAAGCACTATGCTGAAAATGAGTCTGCAGAGATGCCATCTTCAAAAGTTCAGTTTATACTGAATGTAAAGCCGGAGGTCTCTAATGCCTCTCTGGTATCGTAAACACCTTTTTAAAATTTTTATTTTTATTTTGTGGGATTTTAGGGCTTACTTGAACTGAACATTCGCTCATTTGTTTTTAGGTGGAATTCTCTATGGTCTGTGCCTTACCGTTTAAATATCCAGCTGTTCTACCAGAAATTACTGTGAGGTACGGCATTAAAAGTACAGCTAATAAAAACATTTAGAAGCTATGGTGTAATACATAAATACAGTTATAATAGGAAAAAGCTATAATTTACTGATAGTTTACTGTCAAATTAAGCCAGATGGACAACAGTGTCGAAGAAAAGCAAATCTCCAAGGTTATGATTTCTCTGGTGTCCTCAGCAAATAAGTGAGAAAAATGGGAAAAGCGTGGAGGAGTGCCGTCTTCTGTGCAGAGGGGTTACATGTAGATACTGTTCATAGGTCTGATGCTCAAGAAGAGAGACTGTTGTGCGTTTTGACAAGGTTTAACACTAAAGGAGTGAAAAGTTAGCCAATGGTCTTATTCTTCCCTTCTCAAAATGCTGTTACTCCCAGGCTTCTGTTATTTTTTATTGGAACATTTCTGTTTAAAGAAGTATCCTTGCACATTACGAAGTTAGTTGAGACTGTTGTGCGTTTTGACAAGGTTTAACACTAAAGGAGTGAAAAGTTAGCCAATGGTCTTATTCTTCCCTTCTCAAAATGCTGTTACTCCCAGGCTTCTGTTATTTTTTATTGGAACATTTCTGTTTAAAGAAGTATCCTTGCACATTACAGGAAGTTAGTTCAGCCGCCATACTTAAGTTTCAAGTACCTTTTTCTTGATTTTGATTTACAGATTGGTAGTACTATATCTGAACTCAAGAGTTAGCACACCAATTAAATACTAATTAAGACCTTTTCATAGCTAGTACGACTTAAGTATGAATAGCAAGTGCATACGGTCTAAATATGGCCTGATTTTTTGGCAGCTTGAAGTAAAACTCTTTGAAAAACAGGCTAAATTGTAAGCGTATTACAACTGCATTTATATTTTTCTTTTTCTTTAGGTCATCATTATTAAGCCGCGCTCAGCAGATTCACCTGAACTCTGATCTAAAAACATATTTGATGCAAAACTGCAGTGGTGAGCCCTGCATGTTGAGTGCAAGGGAATGGGTTAAAGACCATGCAGCTGCTTACATTGACAAAGAGCTTTCGTCTTCCTCAGTGACAACATCAAATGCCGTGCAGGCAGAAGACACCACGTTCACTCGATTGTGGATCTATAGTCATCACATTTACAACAAGCAAAAGAGAAAGAATATTATTGACTGGGCCAAGGAGCTCTCCCTGTCAGGGTTTTGCATGCCAGGGAAACCAGGTGTTGTTTGTGTAGAAGGTTTACAAAGTAGTTGTGAAGAGTTCTGGTCAAGGTTAGTTTTTCTGTGTACTTAAATGCCATTAGTAGTTAGAATATTGCATGTTTCATGTTGTATATGTGGCCAGAAGGTAGGAAATCCAACCACCTTCCAACCTGTAAAAGCCTGCAAAGTATTTGTGTTTATCATAATGTATTTACAACTCTGAATATCCGCTGTACTGTTGGTTACAGCAATCAAAGCTACTAGTACCGCACAGTGCGCATTTATTTCTGTTTTGCCTTCCTCTGTATTGCGGTTGTATAGCGATGGACTGCAGTACCCCAGTCGTGTTAGATACGTATGCTGTTATATTGCTTTACATTTGCGTTTTGTTCTGCTCCCATCATTTGTATTTCTGGGTGATGCAGACTAAATGGACGTTGCCGTTGGATTGTAACAGCTAAGAGAGTACGAGAATATGAGAATTCTTAGCACGGGCAAGGCAGAAGTGAGCACTGAAATTGAAACACATCTTCATCAATTATTTTGTGAGGAATAACATTAAGGTTTTTGAATCCTGGGGAGATATAAAGAAACAAGCTCCTGCTTATGGGAGTGTTTACGTGCGAGTAGTATTTCTGTGACCGGCTAGGGAACCATTGTCTCTGTCAACATACATGTACAAATGGAATTTACTGACTTCTGTCATATTTCATAGCATGTTCTAAAACAGTCTTTATTTTATAGATTCATATGTCTCCAATTGCTTTCAGAGTAAGAAGATTAACGTGGAAAAGAATTCTCATTCGGCACAGAGAAGATGTTTCTTTGGAAGGTGGAGGACATGCTGAGATTCAGAAACAAAGAAAGTTCCCCCCTTTGGAAGAAAAATGTTTTGATGCACATGGTGCCAGAGGAAATCATATGGATTTGGGGCAGCTATATCGGTTTTTAGAAGAAAAAGGATGTGCTGACATTTTTCAAATGTACTTCGGGGTTGAAGGGCATTGAAGGGGTTGAAGATCACCACAGGTCCAAGTGGTGATCTTTGTAAGTTAGTCCTCTAACAGGTTCCTTAGCTGTTCTGCGACAGTTGATCAGAGAGGGAATTAATAATTTGTGTGTTATACGATTAATCCAGTTTTCAATGAAAACAAATATTCAGTGAAATCCTGAATGATGAAAATGACTAAATGAATGCTTTATTACACCTTCTGGTTTTAAGGACATTTAGGGTACATACCTAACTACAATGAAAGAAAATATGTGTGATAACCTACCGGGCAGTTACAGAATTACAGATTAATGAATAGATGGAATTATGGTGAATGAATATATGAATAAGAAGAAACAAAAATGAAGGATGGGTATCTCAGGAGAGGAAATGTGATGTTTACATTATTTGTTACTGTTTACATACACTACATGATGACCTTTTTTGTAACAATCTTTTCTTCTCCTTTCTACCTGAAAGTATATTGAGCCATAGGATTAATGTTTTATTTAAAAAAAAAAAAAAAAAAAAAAAAAAGGGGGGAGCAATTTCAC